AAATACTTTAATTTCTCTAAAGGTTTTTAATTTAATTCTTGCACTCTGTTCTCTCTCTGAGGGACTCAGAGAGGCCTCTGTTTTCACACTCCAACGTGGATTTTGAGTATCTCAAAGGACTGAGATGCTGGGGCCTCTCTGGGCAACCTGTGTCACACTTTAATTGCCTTCAAAGTAAAAAATATTTTCAGCTGAAATTTAGTATTTTAATTTGTGCTCATGGTCACTTGTCCTGTCGGTAGGCATCACTAAGTAGAACCTGGTTCTGTCATATCTGCACTCTCACATTGTGTACTTATGGACACTGATGAGATACTTTTACCTTGAGTCTACTACAGATGAAGAGGCCAGCTCTCTCTCACCCTCTTCTTGCATGAAAGACTCTGCAATCCCTTCATCATCTTTGTGTCCCTCTGTAGGACTGGCTTCAGTCTGCTCATGCTTCTTTTTGTTTTGAGGAGTCCAGAACTGGGCTGAGCCTTGATATATCTCACCAAGGCTGAGTAGAGGGAAAGGATCACATCCCTCAGCCTGCAATGTTCTTCCTAGAAGCTGCTGACATCTTTTGCTTCAGATTGCTGGTTCCTAGTCAATTTGTTATGCATAAGACCACCAGTCCCATCTCTGCAGAGTTAGTTTTCAGCCAGTTCAGAACCCAGTGTGTACCTGCCCCGATATTGTTTCTCCCCAGGGTTAGGACTTTGCACTTTGTTGAACTTCATAAGGTACCTGTGACCCAATTTCTCCAGGCTGTCCAGAACCTTCTGGCATATCAGCCTCTCCTCACAGTTTTATATGTCTGCAGATTGGTGAGGGTGCACTGTGTACCAGTGTCCCAGTAATTTGTGACAATATCAAACAGTAGTGGCTCCAGGATGAACCCATAGGGCCCACCACTAGGAAATTACCTCCAGCTGGACTGTGCCACTGATCACACTGATCACAACCCTCAAGCTAGAATGGGAGAGACAGCTACACAGGCAAATCCTCCTGATGGAAGTTACATGTCAAACTTGTGGTGCAGTGGAAAAGGCAAAATGGTTCATGTGCTGGTACAGCCTGCAGTTTTTCACTATATGAGTTAAAGGGTGCTGGCAAGGGGAGTTTATAATCTGTAAGACTGTCTACAACAAAGCTTCTGCTGGCATAAGCAGACTATGTTATTTTTCCATGCCACTATGAAGTGTAAACCAGGCTCAACATGTAAAGGGGTAATGAAGCCTGTTTGTGACACTGTCTGATGGCAGATACTCCAGGATATGTGCTCACTCCATAAAACAGATGTCTCCTGCTCTCAGAGCAACCAGGGGATTTTGACAACATTGCTGACATTACGGAAAATATTAAGCAACAACCCTTTCCATCAACTAAAATCCCAGTTCCTCAGCTAGCTAAAAACATTGTAAGTCTTTTATTAAGTGGATAGTTTTACAAACCTCACATTTTTTTTACTTCCCAGGTTAATGGATTTTTTTAGTATTATAATAAATTAGATTACAGAACATGACAAGTTGCTCATTATGAGAATTTCTTGTAAAAAAAGAATATAGATAGTATTGACTTCTTTAATTTACTGTTTGTAAGAAGCATTACTTTATAAAAATAATTAAATGCTTTCAGTAAATACAGTCTATGTACATGTACTTACATATATGTGTATATATACGAGTATGTAAATGTGAGGAGTGAGATACTCAGTTCTTTTGAACTGATGTGTTTCTATTGACTTTAAAAAATGAGAACAACCATAATTCAGTGAACAGCATTGGCTGAAAACCCTTTTATACAAAGATTTTAAGTTGCTTGCCTGTAACAACTGGGCTGTAAAACTCAAAATTGTGCACTCTGTGTAGTCAGAACTATTGATCTACCTTCAGTACTTCTGGGATTCAGTGATAGTCCTTAGTTTCTCTAAAAGCAGGCTGCCTATGTGATATCTTTAGACCCATGTATCATCTTTATGTATTTAAACTGAAAATGTTTGCTTAAGTTTTAAGGTAAACTTATTATATTGTGCTTTTGTAATATGAGTTTTTAAAAGTGAAAAGCTACAGACAGATGAGATAGAATATGGCTTTGTAATATTGTTCTTTCCCTATGTTTTACCTTCAAAAGTCACTTTTGAAGTACTGACAAGAACAGTTATGCGATAGGCCAAGACCCAGGAAATTACTCAGTGGTAATACTGGATGGTATCTTTTCTATCTTGTGTAGCAGCACAGCGCAGGTGTACATGAACAGAGCTGTGTTGGAAGTGGTGCCCATAGGATCACAAAAGGACCTGTGCTTTGTCCTGTTGCACTTAGCATCTGTGGTGAGACAGCACACTCCCTGTGCCCCTACAGCTCTAGCTTCTGTCTCTGGCCACTCTGGATAAACAGGGAAAGATGGGATTTTTTTCTGCAGACCTCTTGGGGCTGGATACCGTCCTTGTGCCAGAGTGGAATGTGGAGGGTTTTCAGCAGTGTCCAGTGTGAGCAAGTACTACTCTCTGTTGAGACAGTTTGGTGCCTGAAAATCTAATGTAAATATCCAAAGTGTCCCAACTCTTCCCAGAAAAGATTGCAGATTGGACAAGAGGACACAGCTAAGAAAATCAAAGAAAGCTTGTTTTGGAGGTCACAAGTCCACAGAATCATGGAATAAGCTGAATTGGAAGGGACCCACAATCAATTCCCGCTCCTGGCCCTGCACATCACCATCCCCAAGAGTCACACCGTGTGCCTGAGTGCATTGTCCAAACACTTCTTGAACTCTTTCAGGCTGGTTCTCCCTGGGGACCCTGTTCCAAAAACCCTCTGGGTGATGAATCTTTTTTCGAATATCCAGCCCAAACTTCCCCTGACACAACTTCAGGCCATTCCCTCAGGTCCTGTCACTGTCAGCACAGAGCAGAGATCAGTGCCTGCCCTTCCTCTTCCCCTCATAATGAAGTTGTAACTGCAGTGAGGTCTGTCCTCAGTCTCCTCCAGGCTGAACAGACCAAGTGACCTCGATTTCCACTCAAGGCCTTTCACCATCTTTGTTGCCCTACTTTGGACACTCTCTAATAGTTTAGTATCTTCCTTATATTGTGGTGCCCAGCACTGGAGGTGAGGCTGCCTCAGCTCGGAGATGTGATGCTGTGCCTGATGCCCCCCAGGACAGGGTTGGCCCTCCTGGCTCCAGGGCACTGCTGGCTCAGGTTCAACTTGCCATAGACCAGGACCCCCAGGTGCCTTTCCTGGCACAGCTTTCCAGCATCCCATTCCCCAGTCTGTCCCTACATCCAGGGTTGCCCCATCCCAGAGGCAGAATCCAGCACTTTGCCCTGTTGAATTTCCCATGTTTGGTGATTGCCCAGACCCCGGATTTGTCAGGGTCTCTCTGCAGGGCCTCCCTCCCCTCGAGGGAGTCAACAGCTCCTCCCAGTTTTGTATCGTCTGCAGGCTTGCTCTGTATCCCTTCCAGTCCTGTGTCCAGGTCATTTATGAAGATGTTGAAGAGCAGAGGGCTGAGGATGGAGCCCTGTGGAACCCCACCAGTGACAGGTCCCCAGTCTGATGTCACCCCATTCTCTGTAACCCCTTGTGCCTGACCCGTGGCCCAGTTGCTCCCATCCCATGATGGGGTTATCCAGCTCTGGGCTGGACATTTTGTCCAGAAGGATCCTGTGAGAGAGAGTGTCAAAATCTTTACTGGCTTCCTTTGGTCAGCTGGGTGGGTTACCTTGTCATGAAAGGAAACCAGGGTGATAAGCAGGACTTTCTTCTCATGAAGTTGTGCTGGCTGTGACTGATGAATGTGCTGTCTTTCAAGTGTTTTTCATTACCCCCAGAATAAACTTCTGCATAACTTTATCAGAAACTGGATTGAGACTGACAGGCTTGTAGTTTCCTGGGTCCTCCTTCTTGCCCTTCTTGAAAATCAGGGCAGTGTTCGCCAGCTTCCAGTCATTTGGGATCTCTCTGGATTCCCAAGACGACTCAAAAATCATCTAGAGAGTTTTTGCAATTGCATCCGCCAGCTCTTTGAGGACTCCTGGATGAATTTCATCAGGCCCTATAGATTTGTAAGGATCCAACTGGAACAGGACATCCTGCACAGTTTTGGGGTTGACTGGGAGTTCATAATTCTTGCAGTTATGGTCAGGGCACTGAGACCCCCCCCTCCTTGGTCTGTGTCTTGGTTTAAAAGACATGTATCTGCCAAAGAAGACAGGAGCCTTCTTGGAATGGAAAGATGATCCCCTCCCTCCAAATTATGATCCTAATTTCAAAATTATGGGGCTTCTAGGCAAAAATATGGGAAAAGGAGTAACAGTTCTTTACTAGAAAATATATATATATATATATATGTAAGAAGGCAGAGCAAGCAACAACAACAAAGCAATAACAGAAATTCCCACGTGTACAATATGGGTATCCTGGCAAAGACAGCCACTGATGTTCCAGTCAACCAGCAGCAGGGACCCTCTCTCTGGACAGAGAGAGGAGGTGAGGGGCCCAGTCTTCCCCTGAAACACTCAGGCAGATGGTGAGGGTCTCCTGGCAATGGCAGGTGCTGGAAAGTCACAGTCAACCAGCAGCTCCTTCCTGCAAGCAGCAGGCTCACTGACAGGCAGCAAGGAGGAGAGCAGAGCACCCAGAACCACAACCAAGCCAGACAAAGACTGCCTGCCCCCACAAAGAACTGCTAAACCCACATTCCCTCCCTCTCCCAGAACCATTTCAGTAGTATGTCAAGGCACTTGGCTACTTGTTTTCTTGTACTTGGCTACTGTCCATTCACCATCTCTGTGACAACAAATGGGAAGGTATTCCCTGAGAAACCTAGCCCAGAACAGTCCATTTATGTTGAAGATGGGAGGTAAAGAATGCATTGCTGTACCTCTGCATTGTCCGTGTCCCTGTTTGTGAGGTGACCATCCTCCTCCTGTAATGGGCTGATGTTATTTTACACTGCCTATTGTCTAATATATTTGAAAAAACTCTTTTTACTGTTCCCTACAGTTCTGGCAGCTTCAGCTCCAGCTGATATTTGGCCACATGAATTTTCTCCCAGCAGTAGCATGCAACTTCTCTCTGTTCTCTCTGTGTCACTTGACCTTGCTTCCACTGGGCATACACCTTCCTTTTTTGCCTTATTTCCAAGAGAACATTCTTGCTCAGCCAAGCTGATTCTGCCTCTCCAGCTTGGCTGTTGGCATTTGGGAGTGGCTCTTAAAAGAGGTGATGCTTAAGAAGTGGCCAGCACTGATGGATGACAACACTTTCAAAAACATTGTCCTCCAGGACCTGATTACTAATTGTCTGAGCAGCCTGAAGTCTACTCTCGTCATGTCCAGAGTTGAGGGTTTGCCGGCACTTTTCGTCCTGTCAACAGAGATTTTAAGCTCAATCACTTTGTGGTGTCTGTGGCCAAGGTATCTGCAAATCTTCACTTATGAGATCCACTCTCTCGACAAGCAGTAGGTCAAGGAATAAAGAGAACTACTGAATAAGGTAACATTTTTGGACTAGTTTCCCCTTGCAAGCATATGTATTCTTAAGAGGGCAGTTGGCATAAGGAAATGCAGGTTTCCAGTCAGGCTTAACTACATAATTCTGGTATTTAAGGAATCGTTAGCATTGTTATAGGATGGTTTTCCAAGCAGTGGTGGCACATTATCTTTATGTGGGAAAGGTCTGCCTTTCCTCTAAAAGGAAGCAGGACAACAATAATGCATAAAACACTAATTCTACTTTTTTTTTTATTCCTTTCAAAATATGCATTGCCCAGTGTTACAGATTGTCTAGTGTTAGAAAGATATTGTATTATCTTTTCACGTGCAGCAAGTTATTTGTATTTAGGCAAGTTTAAAAAGCCCCTTGAGTATATGAGGAATGTAAGAAGATGTAAATATTTCTGAAATGGGGAAGCTAGAAAAGTGGACAGTCTTATGTCAAAAGTTTTAAGATTGCCTTTCTATTGCTGAGTCACTAGATACGTGGATTAGAGGATTATTTGGAAAGAAACAATGAGGTTTTGTCTGAACATATTGATGTATATTGCTGTTTATAGTTCCCAAGAAAGTGTGTGTGGGGGGCGGCGTTTGGTTGCCAAAATCAGATATGCAAGTTGTTCCACACTATACCAATGGATGTTTGATGCGTGTATTAGTACATTTGCCCTTGATCTGGAGAAAATTGGTTCTTCCTTTAACAGTTCCTTTGTGGCACGTAACAGTGAGCCAACATTATAAATAAACTGTGAGTAGTTTAAGGCTTCTCTGTAGCACAGGCAAAATTGAATTTACTTCCCTGCGGATGAAAGCAAGATGACTCTTTGTGGGCAGAAAAGTGTGGTTTTGTGGTAGTATTAGACTTGATGCTGGGGATGTTGATGTAGGTAGGTGAAAAAATTTAGGAGGGAAATTTGGAAGTTAGGAGAAAGGGGCTCAGAGCAGTCTCTGACAGCTTTGGGGAGTTGTTTAGAGGCAAGGAGAGATGAATGGCATATCAGGAAATCTCGTTTAGAAACATGGGCAAAGCTGCGCACTTATATCTGGGAAGGGTGGGAGACCTCTGAGGCCCTGAGGTGACAGGTTCTTGGGCAGTAAAAAGTATGTGAAGTTGTCACATTTCCCATTAGTTAGCAAAGTTGAACACAGATATGGCCAGTGCAGGCAGATGGAAGATGGAGAAAGCAGGGGTACAACAAGCAACCTTTTTGTCTGGGATGAGCCTCCTTCATTAGCAGATGTTGCTCTGATCCCACATGCTGCTGTTCTTTATGACTTCAGATCTTGCACTGGTTTCTTTGCCCAGCTGTTGCTTCCTGTCTTTTAGACCCTTTATGGCTTCTGAAGATCTGTAATAGTAGCAAGAGCAAGTGAGGGGAGAAGGCAACGCTACTGAGTCTCCTCTGGAACACCTGATGGCATATGCCTTTCTTGGTGCTTGGTTGCCTCTTTGTGCTTGGATGGAGATGGGTACCAAAAAGAGCTTGCTGCTTTGAACAGGGCCACCCATTTTAAAGAAAAATTTCTAACTCCATCTTTCTCTTGTCTTTCCCAAGTTTGTGATTTCAAGCTACAGCCTAGATGTCTGAAATTGTTTCTGAGGTTGATATCCTATCAACAAACTGAAGCTCAGAAAGGGTGGATAAGTGGTTATTTTTCATATTTTAATAATTTAAAATATGCCCCCAAAACTAAATTTATATTGCCCCAAACAAACTTTCCTTTGTAGTCATCCCAAAGTCTATGCTTCAGAAGAAGAGCGCCTTCAAAATCTTGAATATAGAAATATACCTTGTACAAATCTTGAATGCACAAAATCTTGAGTATACGTTTATTCAAAATCTCAAATATACTATATTGGATATATATCTGGAAACTACCTGAAACATTTCATGTCCTAATACCCTTTATGCATGTTGTGTTGTAATCTACAGTAGTTTCGTAAATAATAAATATTGTTTATGAATAAAGAAGGTTTCAACATGAAAATGGAGTAGCACTGTAGTACGTAGTATTTCCCTAGAATTTCATTGCTTTGGAAATGATAAGAAATGGACATGGACCGCAGATTACTGGCACCTTTTCCCTTCCTTTGTCTGTTCTAGATCTGGCCATGTGTCTGGGAGCATGCGTGTCACCTCGTGTGTTTGTGCATTTGGGATCATGCAAGGGTATGATGATGATGGCATCTAGTTGCTGCCAGACCACAAGAGGGACCCAAAGACATGCGTTGCTGCCTGGTACTCCTTGAAAGCTGGAAGGATCGTTAGCTTCCAGGTTGGGTTTTCAGAAAAGTAGCTCATTTTCTTTTAATTTTAGCTTTCAGGGATTTTGCTATGACTCGCCTGTAAGCTTTCTGAAGGAAAGTTTGAGAAAGGCTCTAGAAAAAAGGCTGCTAGAGATAACAGATGATTTTAAACAGCTTTGTCATGGCTGCCAAGTGCACTGGGGAAGGCAGTGTGGCATCTAGACTGATAGCTGTAGATCGTCTGAAGACATTAGAAGGAGGGATCTGGACTCGTATTATACTGTGGTATAATACTGTAGGTATAATATTAAGAAAATTAGCATCTGGAATTTTCCCTTTATTAGTATTTTGAACATTATTAGTAATTTGAACATTGAGCCAAGCAGACAACTGCAGATGATGACACCTTTCCATAAATTAGAGGAAAAATTTACCAAAAGTAAAGTTGCTCCAAAAATATAATAAATTGTAGACATTCTGTATTATGCAGCTTTGCTGCTGCAGTAACCAATGTTCCTCCAAAAGATGACTGTAAATTGTACACTGCATGTGCAAACAGGGTATGTCTTTTCTAGCAATGGAAAACATCTTTGATATGAGCTGATTTGGTCTGGAGACAGCAGCACTACTTGGATTTAGCTGCCTCAGTGGACTCATAAAATAGTCTTGAGAAATGTCTTCCTCAGTGAAGGGATCTCAGATGCCTTCTTCACTGGGATTGCTGCCCTTCTCTTTCTCCCTGTGGGCAGAGGACATGAGGCAGGGCTATCTCCTGGTACTCATATACCCAATTTTACTCAATGTAAATAGTAGCCATGTTTTTCTGTGTGAAAGAATAATTTCCAACAGAAGGGTAGGGGGAATGACTAGTGATTATTTTATTGCAGTGACAGCTCCTTGTTCTTTAACTAAAAATTTAGTACTATTGAGTGGTGATGTGGTAATCTAGCATCGACAATGACAGAATATTGTTATGCTATATTGCATTTGGGTAGCACCCTCAGTCTGAGATCAAGTTGAATCACAGTGATTAAAAGATCTGCTGATGTGTTCTTGGAGGAGGTAATACAAAGTTACCCATGATTTACTGTTAGGGGAGCTGGGCCCAGGGAGTGATTTCCTTGGGGTCAGGGAGCGAGTCAAGAGCACGACTGATAGCAGTGTCCTTGGCCAAGCGAGTGGTGAAGTGGTCTTCTCTACAGCCTCTCTCTTCTCCTTCTGCTGTCAGCCTCCAGATCACCTGGCCAGGTTGAGAAGTGCTACAGAACAGCATACAGGCTTCAGATATGCACCCACCCACTGTGGAAGTAGTGCAAGGGCTTTTCTCTGTCCTCTACTCGGGACAGACCATGCCAAATTCTGACCAACAAGAAGGGGCTGCAAGAAGTCAATTTGTATTTTCACCTCTGAGCTGTATGAAGGGAACATACAGTATGAAGTGTAATGATAGACTGACATGAAAGGCTGTTCCCTTCCCTCTCTGCTTTTTCTGGCAGCAGCTGAACATGCAGTGACAACACACCTTCCATTACTAATATTTTGAAACCTAGCGCAGGAGAGTGCCTCAAACCGCAGCCTTATAACGTAATGAAGAATACACACAGCTGCAGTAACAACCACATAATTATTTAATTAGTTTTTGACAGCTTCAAATTGCACAGGCGAAGGAATGCATGAACCGCACATGGAAACCTGCCAGCAAAGGTTTTACACGTACACAGATGGTTTTAGCTATTGTAAGCGCAAAGCCAGGTTGCTGCACTTTTATTACAAAACCTAATAGCACATAATGTGCTGCAGAAGTTATATCAGGGGAATAAAAATGGCATATGTAATTATTTCTTCTCCTTTATGTCACAGTATTACTCTTGTATTTAACTTCCCATAAGTGAACCCTGGGAGACCAAATATAGGAATATTTTAGCATTAATTTATGTAATCTGTAAAGTAACAGCTTTTTTGGGCTTTTGGTATAAGTAATTATGATATCACTAATTAACATTACGTATAAATTTATATTTTAAGATCCTATTACGGAGATGAATTAATTAATGTCTCTTTTGGGAAGTTAAGTATTTTTATTTTGAAAAAAGAAAGACAGGCTCACAGAAGTGGAACAGTTTGTCAGAAACCATGGTGTGATTCAGGGACAACAGAGATGACAAATTAAGAATTTCCTCAGTTTTCATTTGACTCTGCAGAGAGCTAGGACAAGAAATTTCAATATATAAGTGCTGGAAAAATAATTGTCTGCAACAAAATGGATGAAGAGGGCACTAACT